TTGCGAACTATACCATGTTGTATTTATGCGAGTTATTCCCTCCGCTTTGTTGAAGGCCGTTGCAGTTCTGCTGGCGAATATCGTGAGTAGGTATTCAGGGTGGCGTACGAAATTCTTTGCGCGCTCGTTTATTTGTGTCCTTTATCGACAAGTGTCGGCTAATAAATGCGCACTATTAGCTTGTAATCGCGCGGCTAACTGGGTTGGTGGTACCACTACACGCTTTATTGCGTATGAATTCCTTTATGACAGTCGCAGAGAACGGCTCTTCTGACCATTGATGATATAGAATTGTTTTATTCTATAATTCATGTGATTTCATGGTATGGTAGCTCCGTGGTTCGGTTTTGGCCAGGAATGCAAACACTAGTGATGAGTTCGCATAACTAACAGTGAATTTTTTTTGTTATTAAGTTCCATTGAAATTGGATGCAGTCAGTTTTCACTATATGAAAGCATCCATGGTACGACTCATTTCGAAATTAGTCTTGTGAAAACGCTAAACCTCATTGAAGATCATGGACGACTGTGAATTAGTCTTATCACTACTGTTAAAAGGATCGGGCAGATGTAATCGGTTTGCGAAAAGATGAGATGTCTAATAAATGATGCAAGAACATATGTAACGAAGCTGAACAAGGGAACGGACCAGCTGCAAACGACGGATTGTTGCCATTGGCTTGAAGATGCAATATAGTAGTCGATCTGGGAAAAATTAGTTCCTGTGAACTGGTATATGAACATAATTTTGATCTTGCTATTCAAATAAAATGTGACCAACTCTCACTTTATCCGTGTGCAGTTGCTAAGTATCTTGTCAAGTAAACCGTTCAATTTCAGGGACTTGTAGACAAATGTATTTGATTCAGAGGAATCGGCGTTATTTGACGGAGTTTCAATCTTGGTGGAATTTACTCACGACGCTACTGAGAGTCCAGACTGCAATCATTCACGCAGCGAATCGTGCCAACATTTATGTCTGAGCGTGGTGATCGATTTATCGGTCCATCCTGATGGGATTCAGTCCCTTACCCATCCGTCTAGGCCAAATACGGCCGGGTTCTTTCTTGTCTAAAGCTCACTCGATCATCGGACAAGTGAGTAATGTTCCCGGTTTGGTGGCTCAAAGCCCGCTCTACGGAAGCCTTTGTTCTCGCTCGGTAACTCACCAAAACGCACATTCGTTTGGTCATGGAGAAGTCGGTTCATCTGGACTGTAGGGGATTTAATAGACCCGGTCCAATTGGTGACGGGTAAAGCTCCAATCACTTAATAGGGTTCCCGATAGAATCCGGTTGGTTGCATGCATTAGAAGTTGAAAAGGG